TATGATTAAGTTATAGGTTTAACTGATAATGCTTTATAGGGGCCATTTGCTGATAATCAGGTTTTATATCCATAAAAATATTACATTGAGATTGCAGTGTGATTTTTTACATATTGTAGACCACACAGTTGGCATTTTTTGAACAATAGTCTCCTTAGTTATTAACCAGTGGGGAGGGGGGATATCTTTTACATCATAGCTCAAAATAGTAATCACTGCCACCAGACTGCTATCTTCCAATATTGCAGTTTCCCTTTCCTGTTTTAGGTATACAAAAAATGCCTTTACATTTGGTTGCATTTGATTGGTCTTTCCACCAAATGAAAAAGCTCTGGAATTGGATCCATGGTTTGGTAATTTTTCTTTATTATTTTTACTATTATCTTTTAGTCTATACTATGTTCTATATGGAAAAAAATATGTGTACTATATAATGAAACATTGCAATTCAATTGATGGTTCTCTTTCGTAAATAAAGTAAAAGGCTAAGAGAATAATTTTAAACAACTAATTTTCAGAGTGCCTCAGGTACTATTATTAAGTGTTTGTAATGATTTGTTTATAATTCATACTTTAGTGACTGTAATATGGAAAATGATAATGATCATATATTAGTAATACATTTCAGGTGTTATCTTATACTTATTAATTCTTATATATACCTTTTACTTTGTAAATTTCATTATACATGATCAGGCTTACACATATCACCAGGAAGTCACATGTAACCCATATTTCAAGTATGCAGATGCTCTAACAGATGAATACCCAAACTATTTTTTTTTTTATGTTTTCTTTAATTATTTGTATCTATTGTCATCTTTCACCAATCCATTCATATCTGGTATAAAGAACTTAGTTGGACATATTCTAAATCATACCAAATAGCCATGCAAAAAAATGTTGTAATACCAAAATGAGTGAAAATCTTACAACTGACAGTTGCTGTACACCCCGTTACCCCGTGAAGGAAGTGTATATGGAGCCGATTGTTCATAGGAAAGTTTTTCCATGGGGCTATTTTGTGTACTGATATTGTTAATTTTTTGTCATGATTTAGAATAAAATTACCTTATTGATTTTGGCAAACAGAAATTGTTACAAGCAGCATACATGAAACTTACATAAATTTCTTACATATCAATGTATGCATTACAAACAGACCATCATGAGACACATAGAAACAACAATGGTAAAAGCTTTCCCAAACTACTTCCTCAAACACCTAAAAAACACACACACACACACACACACACACACACACACACACACACACACACACCACACACACACACACACACACACACACACACACACACACACACACACACACACACACACACACACACACACACACACACACACACACACACACATACACATACACACATACACACACACATACACACACACTACACGACAGCCACTGCTTTTACCCTCCCAAAACCATATCCTAAATCCCCAATTCTTAGCAGTCATCTTCGTGTGTGTGTTTAGTGCCTACCAGAGCCTGATTCATTATCATTAAGATTAAGATCACAAAGACTTACCTGTTAGGATATTTAGTGATGCAAGTTTGTTTTGATTCTTGCAATCATAACAAAAGCGCAGGTGAATTACTTGTACATTATTCACATTTCAGCTGTCTCATCCTGGTTGCAGTATTCTGTGGGCTTTCAGAAGGTCACATGAAAGCTGCAGGTGTTTTGACATTCACTGCTGTTCTAGGTGTTACAGGGTATTTCATTACCAGATCTCAGCTCAGATCTTCAGGTAACTATATTTAGCTGTGTAGACATATTGAAACTCATCTATACATTTGGAAAATGAATTTAAAGTTATTGTAATTATTTTGTGTTAATCACAGGGGAATATACTGTGAAATACATAATAAATGGGAATCCAACATGACTGTCATGCGAGGAATTGAATTATAGTTAATTTCTTAGTACCTTGATATTAGATGGTAAAGATAATTATTATATACTCTATAATGTTCTAATATTATATTTTCAAAACAAATTTCATGGCTATTGTTACATTTGTTTGGTTTAATGGCTATTGTTAGTTTCACTTACATTAATTATTTTTTATATAGGTTTAAATGGTTATGTTGTGGGCTTATTTTAAACCGAATATGTGATTTTTCAGCCAGAGATGATATCAAGTTAGTGTGCTTCTATGTCGCCCTGATCTCTTGTGCATCACCAGTGGTTAAGAGTCTGACAGGCAGTGTCGCCACAGACACAATTAATGCCTGCACGACTGCATTGCTCCTGTTAAGGATTGTCCACCAAGACTATGGTGCTCTTGTCGCTATGTAAGTTTTCTCATTTTGTTGCAGTCATTTGGTAACTCATGTTGTTTTCAGAATTGTCTTTGATTATGAAATTTAGTGTAAATTGTTTAAGTGTATAGAAGGGAATCCTTTTTTCTTCTGCTTTTCAGTCTCAAAAAGTAAATAAATAAATAAATAAATAAAGTAAATATAATAAAAAATATATAAAAGATTTACCATTTCTTCAATCCTGTACATATACATTTATGGAATAAAATGCATATCTTTTTTTCCATTTTTTGCATGTTTTGATATCTATATTTGCAGAGTAAATCCAACTGTGTCCCATAATCTGGGAGTATTTGCATCAGTGTGTCTCGCATCTCGACTTGGAAGTGACAGGGACGTGTTTGCCCTGATGACACTGGCTGTGGCTTTGTTTGCCCTCTTCCCTGGCTTCAGGAAATATTGTAGGGTGTGTGTCCATTTTCACTGTTGTGTTGTTTGGACTTTGGACTAAATGTCACTCACATAATTTTTTTCCATCATTATTTTTGTGATATTAATTATGATGATGATAAATGATAACAATGTTGATAATGATAATTATAGTGATATTAATGGCAATTATAATTTTGAAATGATGATATTAATGATGATAATAGTAATAATAATGATAACAATAATAATGGTCTGTATTTCTGCTTATAGCCATGCAATGAAAATGTTCAGTATAAGGGAGGAAATGGTTTTAAAAAGAATGTTTACATTTATAATTTGTTTTTTGGTTTTCAGACTAAACTTGGAACAACTTTGGACCTTTTCTTCACCATTGTTGTGGTTACCGTCACAGCAGCAGGCCTTTGGTTGTATGCAATACATCTGATGCCCCTCTTAGCCTTTGCTCTTGTTACCTGTAATGGCATCATCCCAGCACTCTTTGTTGCTCTACAGAGACACAAGCAGTAAGTTATCTTCTTTGGCTTTGTACCTTTGCAAATTCTTTGGTACGCTGATATTTTTGTTTGAATCATATAGGACTGTCTTGTTTTGTTTAGCAAAAATGATATAACATATGTGCACTTACACTATGAAAACATTAATTTGACTTATATTGTATGACATTCTGAAAAAAGATAAGAAGAATTTATTGATGTTTTGCGAGAACTTAAATAATTTCACTGTCAAGAGTATATTTGCCTGAGTAAATGGTCTGTACTGCTTTAGTATGAAATATATCTTATTACCCTTTTTAAGGTGCTCATGAACAGTTCACACATGGATTTCAGTAGATAAAGATAGACTATAAAAAAAACAAACCTTCATGATTCAGGTTACACTAGAAATATGTTTTATAAGCTGGCAAGTGCACATTTTCAGAGTATACAAATGCAATTTTTTTAGGAAACCATCCTAAAATAGTCTTATTAACTATTGGAGAATATGCCATATTTAGAAAAGATGAATAGTGGATGAAAGCCTTTTTTTTTTATAAAGTTTGCACAGGTATTATAATCATAGAAAAATGTAATTAGCAACTCATGCAGAAGAGTCTAGAGGCAGGTCTATTGTGCTTGTGTGACAAAGTTTCCAGTCTGGTTTAGGGTGAATTATTAACCCAGTGTCTCCAGTGATGGCATGTACGTACATTCTATGCCCCATTGTGTGTGTTGAATTTAGTAATTGTTTTTACACATAGATGGCTCCACAAGTACTACATCACCAATGAGCCAATTACACAAACTACCTAGTCTCCCGTTTAGCCTTTTCCTTGATTTTCCATAATATTTTCTAGTATTCATAGTGCTGTTAGTAATGTTTGTAACAATATAGTAATTATGATGTTTATAACAAGAATAATAGTGTCAATATTGATAGCATTAGTAAAAAAGAAAACATTTTTCCGCTGTTTCAAGGAAAAGTAAGGTCGCAAGATCTACTAATTGACTCCTTTGTGGCTAAGCATTGGCAGAGCCATCTATGTGCAGAAACATTTAACCAAGCATTGCCAAAGGGACTGCACCATTTTCCCATCAACATTGGGTTAAAGTTTCAAGCAGAAACATGACTTTTATTTTCTTCTGGAGTCTAAGCAAATAATGCAACTATTAAGAAAAAAAAGGTGATTTTAGTGGGAAGTGAATAGGTCACACTTCAGTCTTATTGCTTCTCTGAATATTGTGTAACCTGGTAAGGAATAGTTTTCTTTGGACACTATACACACAGCTTTAGTTTGTTTCTGTGCATATTTATTGCTAATTATTTTGTATATACTTGTACATATTCTATTTTTCTGACAGTTATAGGTAATGTAATTACAGTTGGTAATTAATTGAACATATGAAGTTGTTAGTAAATTTGAAGACAACTGATCTTATAATAGCAGTAGTTTTATATGTCATATTGTAAGAATTGTATTGATGTTTACAGTACATGAAAGATCTTTTATTTGACTTTCATTTCTTTTCTCGATGAAGGTTATGACTAATCGTAGTGTTTTCAGAAGTGAAATGATGTTGCAAAGCATCTCTTGCCAGCCTTCCTGTAATCAACAGTATCAGTTACATTAGGTTATTCACATCTTTGATGTTGCCTGTTTCAGTCACTCCCTTGGATCATTAGCTGGGCAGGTTGCCTTATGAATACTGACTTCACATCACATAAACTAACCAACTATCACATCTGTTACCTATTTTAGCAGATATTTGATTTGTATATTCCTTGACAGTGTAAAGTAATGAATGTACCAATTAGAAGTAGAAAACAAGTTTCTGTATCTTGAGGAGTCTTCCCATAGAGATGCCATATTGTTCATCCGGACAATCAGACACAGTAGCATCGTATTGATCAAAGTTGCCTAATGATTCCTGGACTTTGGTTTTCTTTGTCTTATCTCATTTCCAATTATCCTGAATTAGGGAATCTCATCAGCATCCTGGTAGACAGTTGTATCACAAGTCATTGGCTGGTACCAGGTCAATGAAACTATTGAAAGCTTCAGATTGCTCTACCTATCTTGAGCCTGTGCTTGTTGCAAATCCTGGACTTTATCTTTAAGTGAACAACAATGTCCAACACAAAAAAACTCTTCCGCAAGTGTGATGCAATAGAAGTAGGTATCATTGACTTTTGAGATGCCATTCTGAATTGTTTTGATGTAGCAGTGGTGTCATTTGATTGGCCTTGGGCACTGGAAAGGTTCAGTCCATATGAATTTTGAGTTATTCCCAATCACTTTGACAAGGTGGGCTAGTGTGCCAGTTCTGGAAGTGGTGAAATTTAACCCCTTTCAATCTGGGTGCTTTGCTGCTCACCCAAAATCCAGGCATTGGGCTTACTTGAGTTACCCCTCTCAAGGATATGTGTCTTTAAGGCTGGGTGCTCACGGATACTCACATGCAGTGTCAAGACTTCTTACTTTGTCTTTGCAGTGATATTATATCTTTTTCTGCATAATAATTTTTTCCTTTTTTGTCATTTTCAAGTGTCAATTACTAAATATGGTAATAGACTTTCTTTACACACTCCATATCATCTCATTAGGTAGTCCATAACTAACTACTAACAATAATTAATATTTTTTTTTATTTGTGTAATTTTTTAAGAATAGTTTTATAATATCTAATTTTATTTAATTCAGCATGCACCCGTCAGTCATGGAATGCAAGAATAGCATGGAAATAGTTTCCTCCCAGGAGTCATGGCCCATGGATGATACATTCTACACTCATTTACTGATAAGAATAATGCAAGATCTCTTCCTAAATACCCATCACCCTCTAAGAGCTTTGTGCACTCATTGCGAGTCATTCTCATCACTCAAATCTTTAGCTGAAATTCTCATGACATTTTCCTGTCACCCCAGCCCTTGGCCAAATTTTTCCATGACAGTATATTCATGTCACTCAGCCCTCATACCAAACGTTTTCATGACATGCTGGTCACGTCATTGGGATCCAAGAGGTCAACAGAGCTTCTTGAATGATGATGCCATCTTGACCTTGGTTTTGGAATCTAATTCCTAGTGACAAGCTGTACTTTTATGCAATACTATTGCTCATACCTGGATTTTCCATGGTAATTGCTGTGTTTAGGACAGACATGTCAATAGCAGGATCTATAACCTCAGTGGTACATTGGTTGTTTGTTAATTTCTCCAAAACATAACACACTGCTGATTTAACCCACTGCTGTTGGGTAATGCACTGTCAGCTATACTTTTCTTCTGTGAATTTTGTTTTTCTGATGTGAATATGGATGTTGTTATTACTAATATTGATATTATAATCATTATAATGTTATTAACAGGACCAGTAGCAATTAGAAATAAAGATTTTTTTTCTGAAAATCAAGGAAAAAGGTAGTGAGATAGGTTTAGTAATTGAATCCTTGGTGATTAACCCATCTATATGTAAAGACAATCATAAACAAAAAATGCTGTTGGCATGACACATACTTTTGCCTTCTGGTTTAAAATAGCACTAAGCCATGACATGGACCAAGCTCACACAATGGTCATGTGATTAAAGTATGGCCTGCATTCACCCCATGAAATTGACCGCTCAATTGACTCAAACTGGGTCAAGCCAGCAATAGAACCAGTCAAGCTCTTGTCCGGAAGATGATGTCTCCTTACCAAGCCATCAACCCTTTCACTGTCTTTTTTCAGTAAAGTGTGCAAAACCACATTTGAATTTCTCTGATCACCCACAGTATTAATACATGCCCTCAACCTGCCAATGGACACTATACAAGGAAGGCATTTTTACTCTTTACACTATAGATATGGTACAGCTGTGTTGATGTGACAGATACTGGTCTCACTAAAGTAGTAATTATCGCAGGAGGAGAATAATATGGCATAAGTGCTTATCTTGAAAACAGAGTGAGGGCTGGTGATTATGAGGTTGTGGAAGAGAGGTTTACCCTGGCAAAAGTTTAGCTTGCAGTTGAGGTGGTTAATAAGATGATGATGACGAGATTAGATTTCTTAGGGATGGGCCAACTGTAGAGTGCAAGTTGAGAAGTCTGTCTACAGGGATTGGACATGTTGAGAGTAGCTCAGCTTGCATAAGAAATGTTGCAGAAAATATCTCTCTTCATGTAAGTGCTGCAGATTACAAATATGAAGTAAAGGAAGAAATATATCTAAATCTCAAAGTGTATAGGTTTTGTTTTCATTGGAAATGAGAAGTCGGAACCAGAGTGATGATTATGAATGA